TTATAACGAATTATAGAATCAGAGGGGGGTAGCTGGGATCTTATACATGCTTATCGACCTAGCCTACCACTTGCTACGTGCTCATTCGCTCGATATTTTAATTAATAATGCAATAATTATTGTACGAATTTAGCAAAATGTATGGGACTTTTTTGTATATCTCAATCTGTTCCATTTCCTGCCTGACGATGTTGGCATTAATGTTCTGAAAGATCTCATATGTATATGCACCTTTCACAATCGAAAGGATATATTCCAGTTATGAATAAAAATTACAGTAGCGATATGCTGATTTGATCTATAGTAATGTCACAATTTATTGCCATCTGAGTCAGCTTGATAACTTGTCTTCGATGAGCTCGCAATTAATGGCAATTTATGGCATATATGCTATTGATATGATCCAACTGCAAGAAAAAAGTGCACGCTACTGTGCGAGCAGTGTAAGTCCTGTGCCTGTTGTTGACATTCGTTTTCAATTTTCCCATCGCGTGTCGATTGTGCAGTTTTAGCGATCATTTTTTCTCTCTCTTTCTTTCTCTATACATTTTATAATTTATCTATTACCTGATACCATTTCCTGAGATGTCATTTGTAAAGTAGTGCAAGCTGTTGTCGCTCGGACATCCGCGCTGGGTAACCGCGGAACCGACTGTTACCGCCTGCGGGCATTCCGTCCTCATATTCATAAAACGCACAGCACAGAAATGCGGCCGCAAAACGTTAAAACGAACATAGGACGCGCACTTGCACTAGAGAAGTAATGTGTATACGTAAGCAACGGATATACGCGTACATACGCAGTTCTCTACCACGCGGCGGGGCCTGCATAAAGCGAGGATAACCTTAAAAGTGCGCAGTCGGTTTCACGCCATTTTGACCTACCGAGTTCGTATATGAACACACGCATAGAATCACAACAACGACACGGCTATACGAGTGTGATGATAACGACGCAGTCACAAATGCCGTCGCAATTGCGGCCGTTAATCGTGCGCGCGACGTACACGAGATAAGATTAATCGCGTAACGCGCAGTTCCATGCTGTCGCTTCTTCAGGTCCAAATCATCGCCGATGATTTGATTTCGCGAGACGACATGTGCGCGGGCTCTTTACTTTGAAAACGAGATTCGCAACACTGATTCTAGGACACGGTGCACAATATGATGCATACGCGATATAATAATATTTTGGTTCTGTGCGTTGGCACATCCGCGTTGCGTCGCAGGGAAATTTAACTTCGCGGCAATATTTAAATTCGCCACGTTAGGAGTGTTATCTAAAATAAATTATAATAGATGATCATCTAGATGAAATTTTGGCATCTTTATCTTTATATCGATAATAAAAATATATATGTATTATCTATATATATATATATATATATATATCTACATTTTACATAAAAAAGTGTTATTTTTACTAAATTATCTAGAATAATGTTCAAATAATTTAGAGTTTAGAGTCATATAGCACATAAAAATTTAAATTTAGTAGTAGAACTTAAATAGTTAGCAATAAAAAGTAAAAATAAAAGTATGAATATATTTTTAGATATATTTATATTTTTTATAACTATATTTATATATAAGCAATCTTATTAAGCAAATATGTGGAATTATACCTAGATGAATCGCCATGATATAATTGTATCTTTTTATCTAGATATATTTAAAAAAAATTATCTTTATCTTATATCTAAGATGGATTTACTTATTTTTCTCTTTTGTAGAAATAATAAACCAACAAATCTATTTATATATGTATATAAGTATATATCGTCTGTCTGTCTGTAGGTTTGTTCGCGTCGCATGCCCCAACTTGCTCCTTTTTACTTCAATGCGCTCGTATTGGTTCAATTCGAGGAGCGCACTAATATGAGCGCATTGGAGTAAGAAGAAGCATTTTGGGGCATGCGACGCGAACCTTGTATGTCCGCGAACTACTTTCACATTTATGGACCGATTTTTCACCAAATTGGTACCAAAATGTTAAAGAAAATATAGACCACAAATGTTGTAATTAGGCCAATAATGACCAACAAACAATCAACAAACGATTGGTATTACAAAAAATATTTTAAAAAGTAAAGGCTCTTGCACAATCTCAGGTAATAGGAATAAGAAAGAGAAAATATCAACCAATCGGAAAAGGAGATAGATATTATTCTCTGCTTCTATTGGTGGATATTTTTTATTTCTTATTCCTATTGCCTGTTGCCTGGCATTGTGCAAGGGGTTTTAAAGTTGGCCGGCTAAGTTCCCGGAGCTACAATTTTATGATAGTATATTAAAGAAAAAAATCATATATCAATTAACAAAAGAAAAAAATTTTTTAAACAAAAAATAAAATTAAGGTAACCCCAGAAATATTGCTTAGAATTAAGCGGGGAGTACACACTTTTGCATAAGCGCATAAGCATATGCATAAGAAATTCGATTAATTGAATTTCTTATGCATACGTTTATAGACCAATCAAAGATTATTATGCTTGCGCTTATGCGCCTATGCAAAAGTGTGTGCTTCCCGCTTTAGAATAAATTTTGTAGGAAGAAATAATAAACATTTAAAATGAGAATAGTCAACATTTTAAACATAAATAAAAATCTATAATTATTATTTTTTTTTATAAAAGTATTTTATTTCTAAATGTTGGTAGTTTTGCAACCGGAGTTTCTCATTGTCACCGAAAGAAGTCTCCAATGTCTCCAATCTCCAATATCTGTTCGGAGTTTGTCCATCACTTTTCACTAAATTGATGTAATTTTAATGACAATAAAATTCTCAAAGTATATATATTATAAAATTTTTTTCATTATTTTTGATTCAACAATATTGTACTTTATTTTATATTAATACTTTCAAATAATAAATATAATTATAAAGATTTCTTTCGAGATATAATGAACTCGTTCATTTTTTTGCAATTGCTATGTATACTTGATTTTAATATTAATTATATGTAAACCTTTATTATATTTTTAGTATCCCATCTATTAATTTTACGTAAAAAAATAATTCGCACGGTTAGTTCGCAAAAATATGCATTCTTCGTAATTAACAATTATCAACAAAACAGAAAACGTAACCCATATTGTCCCATACTCTACATTCTACGTTCATGAAATGTTAATACAACACTTTCCTACGTGTGATTTTTCTTACTTATCGTATTATACGAATTATAAGAATTCATTTTGAAAGCGATAATCTGTTGTAAGTGTCAATCTACGCATTTTTATCCATTATTATAGAAAGTTCGTGAGGTAAGTGTAAGAATTTATATATAGAATGTGTTTTCAAGAATCTACACTTATAAATGTAACATTTTGAGGTTATGTTTTCGCGTCAAATAATAATGTTTATTTACTTTATAGTATATTGTGCATTTTGAATATTGTGAAACAAAATTCTTATTTTAAATATATATTCAAAGCAAGTTGCATTTTCTTGTAATTGTGTTTACATGACAAAATCGACGTCTAGTAAAAAAGATATAATCAGCAAATTATAATCTAACATATATTTTGTTGCAACTAATGACTAGAGACTAGAATGAAACTAATTTTGTTGTCCTACATTTATTTATATTAATAAATTTATGAAAGTTTTTCACATTGATATTATAGTTTAGAAGTAACAGCAGAAGAGTATATTTTCAATTTTATTTATGATTTATTATATATCTTATATAACAATAAATAATTAAGTTTTTATATAAATAAGAGTAATTGGAAATAAACAAAACATAAAAAAAAAAAATAATTGTGAATTAAATTGAAAAAACCAAAAAGTAATTTAATCATTTGTACATAAAATCTTTGTGCAAGTATTTTTTGTCATATGTCAATAATATAGTTTCTTTATTTAAAAAATTAATATCTCTAAAACATCAATCTTAGAAAAAATATAATTCTTAATTAAAATATGATTATGTTTGTGTGTGATATGATGATATTTGTATGTATGTAATATTTTAGTTCTACACTATTTTATATTATCTCTATGACTATATAGTAAAGAATTTTCTATATTCTTAAAAATATTTGTCCTTTTCTATTTCTCATAGGTGCAAAATAAAAATGAAAGTAAAACGCAGTAAATCTCTGTCTCCCGAACCATCCAGCAGCAGGGATACAAAACGTGTAAAATTAGAAGAAACTGCAAATTTAAATAGAATAACAGCTTCTGCAAACATACTTGAATTTTCAGATGATGTTTTACTCAATATACTGAAATACTTACATCCGCAAGATCTTATGGCTGTCAGTTTGTGAGTTCTATATTTATTTCTTTGCATATTTTACATTTATTTTTCTCTCTTTCCTTCTCTCTGTCTCTCTCTCTCTTTCTTTCTCCCACTCTTATAATATTTTCATATTATAATTAATTTTTCTTTTATTCATGTAGATGCTGTCACAGATTTGCACAATTGACGCAAGATAGAACCCTATGGAGAAGAGTAGACTTTCGAACAAAACCAATTCTTGTAGATGATTTAAACCAATACATGAAGTTCCTGCAACCAATAACAATGAGTTTGGCAATGCGTGGCAATTTTGTCACTGGCAAATGTTCAGCTCTTACACAAATATTTTTTAAGAATATAAAGATGCTATGTAATCAGCTTAAAGAATTGATTATTGAAGAATACTATATCAATGGAGACAAGGTATATTTAAATAATAAAACCTTTCATATTGGCAGACAAGCATTCCATCAAGGTGCAATTTCACGTGCCGCTAAAACAAGTGATTGAAGCGACAGATTTGTCGCTCATAATTCAGCACCAACAATTTTATAATTTGAATCAGTTCAACTACAAAGCATTTACTGCTCAAATGCTCAACTTTCAATTCTGTTGCGCTGCTATTCTTTTCATCTACAAAAATTATCGCTGTTTAGTTCAGCGACAAAAGTTGTTACATGATCATTTTTGTCGGTCAAACAATCGATTTCAGCGGCTCATGAAAAGGCACCTTCACAGAATCATTGATGAAAAAGATGTCGTAATGTTATATCTACATTTTTAAATGTTTACTGTACATTTGAACTTAATCTCAATATATTCTCTCTCTCTTTTCTGTTATAAAAATACTGTATTATAACAATTTTTACAGATTCAAATAACAGATTTTCCATGTACCATTGAAAAACTTTCATTAGAAGGTTGCCAAATGGAGTATCTACAAAATAATAAATCTTATTTTTAAAATGGATTTATACATGCCTAATTTGACAGTAAGTTGATATTTTTACATAGATATAAATTTCAAAATAAAAGAATGTTTTTCAGTATTTTATCTTTTTATTAATTTTTACATTTACATATTATATTTACCACACTATAGCTTACCATGAATTATTCTGTATAATATATGAAACTATATTTTATATTAATTGATCATTGTACAGTACGTTATTTAGGGCATGTTCTGATATACTGCCAGTATTGAAAATCTATAGTTTACATTATGTATATTATACTGGCAATGTAACATGAACATAATAAATAAGTTATTTCGTCTCTATAATCTTATTTGATGTCTATGAAAAATAACTTTGAAAAATAATGAACAGATACACACTCATATATATTATTATAATTCTTCTGCATGCTAATCACATTACTACTATTGTATATTGAATACCATTTTCAGTGTTTGATTTTGAGCAATTGTCAATGGTTTACACCACATTCCTTATTAGTTATCAGTAAAATACCCAAACTTAAGGAACTTAGATTGAATTCATGCCATCGTCTGGGTGAATGTGTTGCATATGCTAGTCTAGCAACTAGATTTGGATTTAGAACATTAGAGGTATAATATATTTCTCTACTCGTGGATTATTTATACTATTTCAGTTATCATTCTTATCTTCAGTCTCATCAGAAAAATATAAAATGCTTTATGTTTTATGTTAGATTTTAGATTTACGAGACACGGCACTCGGAGATAGCGAGGTCGGTTGTTTTAGTAGCACTAAAACTTTGACGCATCTTTATTTGGAATGCCCTTCTACATTAAGAAATGAAGAATCTTCTGAGATTATGCAGCAACAGCAGCAGCAACAACAGCAAGCTTTGCAATTACCAATATTTGAAGATAACCATTTAGCACAGGTATTTTTGCAGAAAGTCTATTTATAAGTACTAATTATAAAAACTAATATATCCTTTTTCTTTAAGGTTTCTAAGTCCTTGCCATGACCATATTGGATTGTGACGGCAAAAAAGTACATGCTGAAAATTCTTTGATGCCATTTTTAAATGTTGTTTCACCGAAATATCTTTTTATTTCGAAATGGCATCTAAGAATTTTAGCGTAATATTTTTAGCATAAGAATTTTTCTCGTCTCTGACGTCACAATTCTAACATGGTTAGCGAGGAGTCAGGAGCCTTAAAATGCGTGTTTAAAAATGCTATAAAAATAAATTATTTTATTTAGTTTTTTAAATTGCATGCTCTAAAACGCTGTAAAAATGAATTATTTTATACAGTTTTTAATCGAGGATGTATTTGCTTTTGAGAATAATGGATTTCAACGATGTTTAATATCGGATAGAGCAATTTGTGCTCTTGGAAGTGATTCTTGTGATAGAAGGGTGATAAATAGCTCTCCACAAGGAATGGTAATATTACAAGAAAATAGACGAATATCGAACAATCCAAATCTTAAAATATTAGTTGTTAGGTGAGTTTCAATTAATTATAAAAGAATTCAAAAAAAAAGTAAGAAAATGGATACAAAACAAAACAACTATCACTATTTGTTTCTTTTTTCTTTTTAGAAATTATCCACGTGTAACAAATTCAAGTCTTGTCCATTTGGCTGTAAATGCATCGAAATTGGAGTATTTAGATGTAACTGGTACTTCTGTAACAAGAGATGGTATCGAATCTTTTAAATCACAGAAAACTAATGTGAAGGTCGTTTCATCATTCGATGAGACATAGTTAATATTATATGTAATATATTAGGATTTAATGAGTATTTATTAATACTTTTATTTATAAATAATTAATTTTTAAGTATTAACATTTGTATACACATCTCTCTCATGCTTCGAAATTAAGGTTTATATAGTGTTCAAACTATTTTATAGGTGCAATTAATTTCCATAATATTAAATAAGTATAATTTATTTAAACGAAAATAAAGCATAACATTTGCATTTTTATAAGTCTGTATGTAATATTATTATAGTATATATTATATATAAATAACTCTATAAAACAATATATTTTATCCTCAAAGTCTTACTAACTTTGATTTAATATTTTCTGGGATTATTATCATTATTTATATTACTGTAATGACTTTATTTATTTTGAATGTTATTATTACCTTTTATCCTTTTTATTATATGTGTACTAATATTGTGTCACAATATTCATGGATTTTACTTTCCATGTATTATCATAGAATTGTTCTCATTAACAAATAAAAACTAAACATTATATGCATGAATATGAATATGTATTATAATATATAGAATACTATATTAATATCTTGATTCATGCATGATCAACATAAAATAACATTTGTAGTATATAATAAATATATTGTGGATGTTTATATCTGCATACATATATATGTTATATTATTTTTAATTAAGTCTTTAAATTATTATATATTATATAAAAATAAAGATTGTACATATGTCAAATGTATTAAATTTTAATGAATGGAAATACAAACATAAGAAAGCACATTTGACAGATCTCATACAACGATCTTAAATATATGACGAAAATGACTATATTTTTGTTCTACGTGATCTATAATTAAAGATATGCAAAATCCAAAGTAGTTTATGATTAAGAAAATGTACTTAAGTAGCGTTCTTGACAGAGATATAGATTTTTATTTTGACAGTGTGTCATGATGTGTGTAATAAGGATTAACATACGCGCGTTACAAAAGGTATGTATTTTAAATATTAAATTAAAAAATTTATTAATAAATGTTGTGTAAATTTGAAGTATATCCTCTCCAATTTTTTGGAAATTTGTTCACTTTTATTCGTTGCTATATTACATTTACTTGTATGTATTTTATTGATCTTTAAAATAAATTATTCTATAATAATTATAATTTTTGCGAAGGAGCGTATTTTGTAGGCGCTTATATTATAAACAGGGCCTCAGCAAACTGTTGTATATTGCATTAAACTTATATAAAATTATATTATAATTTATTATTATGTTTATTAATTATAAGAAAAAATTAAAAATTTTGTGTTATAGAAATTTTACATTTTTCGGTCAATTTTACTGTCAGAATAATATATAACCACAATATTTCCAATATAACCACATTTTGTCAAATTTTAACATAAATATATTTTTATGCTGTTTTCTAAGTCGGGCAATAGAGCCAAAGAAACGAAAAATTAATTACTCGGAACTGTATCTCAATTTGAGATCCCAAATATCCGCGCCTATTTCTCCATATGTAAGTTTCGAGATTAATTTATATATGGAACTTTGGGATCTCAAATTGAGATACAGTTCCGAGTAATTAATTTTTCGTTTCTTTGGCTCTATTGCCCGACTTAGAAAACAGCATATTTATATTCTTTATATTGAGAGCCGATAAAAATATTTATTTCTGAGAATAAATATATTTTGTTAAATATTCGGTGACTCTGTATTTTTATCGGCATAATCGAAGAAAGTATATAATAATCTCTAAAAACTCACCTTTAAAAAAAGGTAAAAAAGGCGACCAGTTAAGGGCACGCCATTAACAAAAATTATCCATTGCAAACCCATGTAGAATCCTATCCTATTGCAAACCCATGTAGAATCCTATGAAAAATTAATCATTGCAAACCCATGTAGAATCCTAGGCAAAATTAACCATTGCAAACCCATGTAGAATCGTACCCATTGCAAACCTATGTAGAATCCTATGAAAAATTAACCATTGCAAACTCATGTAGAATCCTATGAAAAATTAACCATTGCAAACCCATGTAGAATTGTATTAAAAATTATCCATTGCAAACTTATGTAGAATCCTACATTGCAAACCCATGTACAATAGAATTGTATGAAAAATTATCGATTATAAACCCATGTACAATCGTAACAAAAGTAATGAAATAAAAAAAATAAAAAAATGTAGAATCGTACCATAAAAAAACTTATCTTTTAAAAAAAAGATAAACAAGATGCCAAGTCCATGCGCCATGTGAAAAAGAAATAAAAAAATTTTAGTTAAAAAACTGGGCGCGCTGCTAAGTTTCAAAATTACAATGCACCTTAAAGTAACATTAATTAATTTAAACACAAAACATATTTTAACTGTAATGAGTTTAAAAGTAACAATTTAATTTTAATATTGTTAGAATATTATTTAGCAGCGCTCCCAGTTTTTTTAACTAAAATTTTTTTATTTCTTTTTCACATGGCGCATGGACTTGGCATCTTGTTTATCTTTTTTTTAAAAGATAAGTTTTTTTATGGTACGATTCTACATTTTTTTATTTTTTTTATTTCATTACTTTTGTTACGATTGTACATGGGTTTATAATCGATAATTTTTCATACAATTCTATTGTACATGGGTTTGCAATGTAGGATTCTACATAAGTTTGCAATGGATAATTTTTAATACAATTCTACATGGGTTTGCAATGGTTAATTTTTCATAGGATTCTACATGAGTTTGCAATGGTTAATTTTTCATAGGATTCTACATAGGTTTGCAATGGGTACGATTCTACATGGGTTTGCAATGGTTAATTTTGCCTAGGATTCTACATGGGTTTGCAATGATTAATTTTTCATAGGATTCTACATGGGTTTGCAATAGGATAGGATTCTACATGGGTTTGCAATGGATAATTTTTGTTAATGGCGTGCCCTTAACTGGTCGCCTTTTTTTACCTTTTTTTAAAGGTGAGTTTTTAGAGATTATATCATTCATTTTTGTATATTTTTATGACCGGAATAGAACAATTATTAAACATGTTTATCTAAACTTCTTTGCTTAAAATGATGTGTACAATCATATCCTAGAATCCTGATCATTCCTCCTAAAGCACCCTATTTATATAAATTTACCCATATGTGTGTGTGTGTGTGTGTGTGTGTGTGTACTAATGTCGAGCATTTTTTATACATTTTCTATTAAATTTAGATAAAAGTTGCAGGATTTCGAAAAAGAAAAAGTTGACACAGACTTTTTCCTAAACGGCGATTTTCAAGGTTATTTAAAGGTCACTTATATTTTCAAAATAGAATTACCTTAATTTTTCTCATATAAATCGATTCCTCGCAATATTTACTATAAAAAGTTGTAAAGGTATAATTTTTACATAATCTTACATAAACTTCGAAATATTACAAATATTTTATTTTATGAAATATTTCAGTTTATGTAAAATTATGTTAACTATCTTTTAAATTATTCACTTTTAGCCATCTTACCCTTACAACCTTTTATAGTGAATATTGCAACAAATTGGTTTATATATATAATATATATATAACATCAGTTATTATTAATTGATGTTTACATTTATTTTTAGACTTACTAGAGCTCAAATGCTCCACATTTTTTGCAAAAACTGTTTATTCTACAGATTTCAAATATGCTTTTAAATGATGATTGAATATTTCCTTTTTTTAATTATTTTTATTATTATTTTTCAATCTCAATCAACTTTTATAACTTTATGCCAGCACGATACAAATACATGTGTCTTTATTTTTTTTATTATTTTCATTATTATTTTTCAATCTCAATCAACTTCTATAACCTTATGCCAGCAGGATACAAATACATGTATGTCTTTATTATTGTATCAACTCTTGTCTTTTCCATGTAACCATGTCTTCATAGTTTGAATTATCCCTTCATCTTCTCAATCTTTCGCAGAGATTTAATTAATTAAATACACTTCACACGAAATAAAGTTTGCTGGAAGATATACAGCAAACGATAACTGTAAAAACATGATTACGTGGAAAGAACAAGAGTTGGTACAGTAAAGGCAAGTAAGTAAGTACATGTAATGTATCGTATTGGCATAACGCTATATCCGCGGAGCAGATAATGTGGCTGTAGAGGTAGTCTGCAGTGCAGCTAATGTGGACGTAGATGTTGATTGAGATAATTGTCTAATATAAAATAGAATTTAAAAATTTAGTTTAAAAAGCTGTTGCATATATAAATAAAGTTTATTTTTTCTAAATTTGGAATATGTTTAATTAATTAATTTTTTAAGTCTATGTTTAATAAATTTTTTAAGTCTGTATTCAATAATTTTATTCATTTGATAAATACATGTATGTCTTTATTTTGATATGTTTAATATAATTAGAAATTCATTATTAATTAGATATGTAAACTATAAATTCATATATAATATTTGAAAATATATGTGAATATTTAAATTTTTATCTTCTCCTTCCTCTCCTTCAATCTCTTTAATATCAATATGTGTATGTGTGTACACGCGCGCACATTTGTACGTATTTATTTAATTATTGGATAGTTGAGAGTACTTAATTGATAAAAAATTATGACAATAATAATCCTTGTTTTTTTTTCTTATTATTTACTCAGATTTTTTTGTCTATCTTATAAGATAAACACTTTAGAGATTGAATATTTCAAGTAAACTAATTGTAAGTAAATTTCACATTAATGCATATAGATGTTTAATCATGAATGTACTAAATAAGTACACAAGACGAACAGTGAGTGAGTGAGTGAGAATGAGAGAGTGTGTGTGTGTGTGCGTGTGTGTGTGAGAAAGAGAGAGAGAGAGAGAGAGAGAGAGAGAGAGAGAGAGAGAGAGAGAGAGAGAGAGAGAGAGAGAAGAGAGAGAGAGAGATAGAGTCTCTCTGAGACTCTCGAGAGAAGAGATCGAGAGCGCCATCTGTTCCAGCCCTTCCCTCTCCTACCCTTCCTTGATTGTCTACGTGCGATATAAACATGTATTGTATGTGACGTTGTACGTGTATGTGTGCGCATGTGTTGTATACGATGTGTTGTACGTGTAGCACGATACTACTATGTATGCGTGGTCGATGATGATAATGATGATGATAATGATGATAATGATGATAATGATGACGGGGACGTTTCTTAATAGAAATTTTTCATATTTCGACTTTGCATTTATATATCTCTGCTTACAAATCACGTAGAGCAGAAATAAAGACAC